AAAAATGTCAGTGCCCTGGAAAACTTCAGTGCCCCGGGGCACGGGAACCATGGCTGAGATGCCAAAGCACCGTGTGAGGGTGCTGGGCCCTGTGTGTCCCATATGTGTCCTGTGTGTCCTGTGTGTGTCCTGTGTGTCCCTTGCATGTCCCGTGTGTCCCCTGTGTGCCCCCTGTGTGTCCCTTGCATGTCCTCTGTGTGTCTCCCGTGTGTCCCCTGTGTGTCCCATATGTGTCCCTGTGTATCCCGTGTCCCCTGTGTCCCCTGTGTGTCCCCCGTGTGTCCCCTGTGTGTCCCCTGTGTCCCCCATGTGTTCCCCATGTGTGTCCCCCTGTGTGTCCCTTGCATGTCCCCTGTGTGCCCCCCGTGTGTCCCCTGTGTGTCCCATGTGTGTCCCCCGTGTGTCCATGCATGTCCCCCATGTGTCCCCCGTGTGTTCCCCATGTGTGTCCCCTGTGCATCCCATGTGTGTCCCCCTGTGTGTCCCCCATGTGTGCTATGTGTGTCCTGTGAGTGTCCCGTGTGCCCCCTTCATGTCCCATGTCTGTTCTCTGCATGTCCCATGCATGTCCCCCATGTGTCCCCCATGTGTCCTCTGTGTGTCCCCTGTGTGCCCCCTTCATGTCCCATGCATGTCCCCCATGTGTCCCCTGTGTGCCCCGTGTGTCCCCTTCATGTTCCCCGTGTATCCCATGCATGTCCCCATGTGTCCCCCATGTGTCCCCTGTGTGTCCCGTGTGTCCCCTGTGTGTCCCCCGTGTCCCATGCATATCCCTCATGTGTCCCCCGTGTGCCCCCTGTGTGTCCCATGTGTTCCCCATGTGTGTCCCATGTGTGCCCCCTGTGTGCCCCCTTCATGTCCCCCATGTGTCCCCCGTGTGTTCCCCATGTGTGTCCCCTGTGTGTCCCTGTGTGTCCCCTGCATGTCCCTTCATGTCCCCTGTGTGTGTCCCTTGTGTGTCCCCTGCATGTCCCATGCATGTCCCCTCTGTGTCCCCCGTGTGTTCCCCATGTGTGTCCCCTGTGCGTGGGTCAAGAGCACAGTGACAACGATTGGGATACCCCCTGTGCCCATTTCCCTGGCTCAAAGTGAACTCAGCCACAACCATGAGCTCATTCCTCTCCCAGCTCAGGGACTGTCTCCAGTTTTCAGAAGAGGTGACAAGGGCTCAAGAGAGAGAGACAGAGT